AATGATATACACTAAGTTAGTGTGTTTCATATTAAATTATCATTTTTCAAGCAAGTCTTAATGGCACTTTACAAAACATGTTAAAGTTTTACAAAGTAATACTGCCTTATCTAAACTCTACATATTATTTATAAATATATAAATGTTTTACACTTTCTATAATTTCTATAATTAATAATATAATACTTATATTATAAATACTGTTACTGATATTATAAGTTATAATATAAGGTTTTGTATGAAAAAATGTTTAAATTATTTATATTGTGAATTTTTTGTACTCAAGAGTAAGTAATAACAAAAATTATTAGATGTTATAACGTTTAGCTTTATTTATCTGAAGTAATAAGAAAATTATCTAATTTTGTTTGAATATATTTATTTATTAAATACATTTTTTAATTCTTTAAAATATAAATATTTTCAATTAAAATTAACATAATAAAGATTGTCTAAAACTATGATATATATATATATATATATATATATATATATATATATATATATATATATTATATATATATATATATATATATATATATATATATATACCTATAAGTGATGTGGGCAAGAAACAAATATTTCACCTTTATTGTGATTATTGTTGTAATTAACTTCTTAATTGATCAAATAATTGATAAAAATTTATTAAAAAAACTTTTAAGAGATTTACCCACTTCGATTACAGCTTTAAAAGCTTACAATTTTCATTTCAAAATTTTTTATTTTTTTGCGATAGTGCCTTTTTGACTTGCCACTGAATTATTATTTAACAATGACTACATCAGGTATAAAATCATTTTCGGCCTCGTTCTTTTTCCAGGTATTACATCTCTTTGGTTTTATTAAATAACAAATAGTTATTTATATTGCTCCGTTTTTAAAAACAAATAAAAAGTGAAGAGGTACTAACTATTAACAATTTTTTTAGTTTCTATTAGTTACATTTTTTCATTAATCTTTTTGTATAAAACATATATTGTTAATATATAATTAAATATTATTTTATATACTTATGTAGAAACTAGTTTAAAAGGATTGGGTCCTAGTAACCATTTTTAGAGTTTACGCGCGGGCACGTTTTTTCTTATTTTGTTAAGTTTCTAGAAAGCTTAATGGCGCTGTAGTTTTGTTTATTGTTGAAATATATTATCCTATCTTATCTGCCTTTTGATTTACCTATTAGTGTCCGTTGTGGATTCTAAATGGTGACCTCGAATGGATTAATATTAAATTGAATATAGTTTAAAATGAGTGTAATTCTTAATAAGAAGAAAAGAATCAGAAATGGACATCGGAAACACGTTCTTAGAACTGGAGAAGAACTTAAATAATTCAAAGACGATTCAGAAAAGTTGAATTCGTGTTCGGAAAACTTATCTTTAAAATTAAATTTTATACAAACATTGGATAATGAAATTTTGACTATGATTGATAATGAAGACGCCATTGATACTGAAATTAACGAAAGCTCACAGTTTTTGGATGAAATTCAGTTATTGATTACTCGAACTCAAAATTTTTTAAAAGCTTTAAATAAAGGTGAAGTTGCATCCAAGTCAATTCTTACTTTGTGTCAAAGTAATGTAAATTTACCTAAAATTACACTAGAGAAATTTGATGGAAGCATTTTAAATTGAAGAGGATTCTGGGAACAGTTTAAGACAACTATCAGTGATAACAACACATTCAATTATATTAAATTTATCTTAAAACTTTATCAATTTATCTTAAAACTTTGGTTAAGGGAAGTGCCCACGAACTAATATCTGTATTAACATTGACAGCGAGCAATTATGAAAGAGCAATACATATGTTGACTCAACGATTTGGAAATACTCAAGTATTAATTTCAACTAATATGGAAAACTTGCTCAAATTACTAAAGGTTGAATCAATAGATGACATGGTTAAACTACGAATGGTGTACGATAAACTTGAAACTAGTGTCAGAAACTTAAATGACCTTGGAGTGGAAATTGCAACCTATGGATCAATGCTTATAAACATTTTATTCGATCAAATCCCTACAGATTTAAAAATTATTATCTCAAGGAAATTTAAGCATGAAAGTTGGAACCTAAATGAACTTATTGAAATTTTTAATGAAGAACTTTGTGCTCGTGAACGTTGTGCTGCAGTTGCAGGAATATCAGATAGTGAAGAAATTGATTTTCAAAATGAATTTACTGCTCAGATACTTCAGGTAGATACGAAAAAATCTTTGCTTTGCTATTTTTGTAACAAAAATCATTTTTCTAATAAATGTCTGAGCGTCACTGAAAGAGAAATTACGAAAAATATGCTTAGAAAACAGGGACGTTGTTTCATTTGCATGGAAAGAGGACATAGTTCTAAAAATTGCAAAGTATCATATAATTGTTTGAAATGTAACGGAAACCAAAATTTTACCATATGTAACTCCTCCAGTAAATACAAAAGAAAGAAAGAATATCTTAATGACTCCAAGCCAAAAGAAACTGTTACAAATCACGTCAATTGTTCACAACAAACAATATTGTTACAAACAGCAACTGCTTTAACTAAGAATATGAATGATAAAAAAGAAGTACTTTCAAGATTATTATTTGATTGTTGTAGTCAGAGAACATATTGTACTAAAACATTAAAAAAGAAATGAATTTTTAAAGTATTACGACAAGAAACAGTTTTAATGAAAAGATTTGCTTCAGATCAAGGAGTTTTGAAAACATTAGATGTTGTGCACATTAGTGTGCGTGGAAAAACAAAATCTGGTTATATTTATATTGAAGCTCTTTGTTTACCTTTCCTTTGTTGCCCGTTACAAAATCAAGATTTGAAATGACATTAAAAACTTATCCTTATTTTAAAAACTTACAATTAGCAGAAAATGATTTAGCTGGAAACAATCTTAAAATTGACATTTTAGTAGGAATGGATAATTATTATAAATTTATGATCGTATAATCAGGAAGGATTATACGACTAAGATTATAAGTCGTATAATCAGGAAAGATTATACGACCTATCATAATACGAGAAAAAAAAAAAAAACTTAAATGGATCAGTTGCTTTAGAAAGTAATTTGGGATGGGTTATTTGTGGCCCAACAAGCATGACTGTTAAAAGAAGCTGCACAGCATCAAATCATTATTTTACACTTGTAATGCAAATGAATGCCTTACAGATTGACAATGATAGTTTGAAATCGAATTTGAAAAAGTTCTGGAAAATTGAAAGTTTAGGAGTTAAAGAACATGAAGTTTATTACAAGTTTCAAAACAAAGTTTACCACGATGGAGAAGGATATGTAGTAACCCTACCGTTTAAACCGTTTCATGAAACTCTTCCAGATAACTATTCAAATAGTGAAAGAAGACTTGATTCCTTAAAACGACGACTTGACAAGGATGAACCACTTCGTCATAAGTATAATGATATTATTAATCAATATCTAAATGATGGAATCATTGAGAAGGTTACAGACACTAGGTTGCCAGGTAGAATTCATTATATGCCACATACTGCTGTTATACGTTTATTGTATAGATAAAGAAACAACGAAAGTGAGGATAGTGTTTGATGCATCTTCAAAATATGGTAAACATCCCTCACTAAATGACTGTCTTTATTCTGGTCCCTGCTTATTGACCTTGTTATTTAATATATTAGTTCGATTTAGACTTCACAAGATTGCTTTAACATCGAACATCAAACAAGCATTTTTAAATATTGGTATTAGTCCCTCAGATCAAGATTATTTACGTTTTATTTGATTTGACAATGTAATTTCAAAGAATCCACAGAAAATAATATTTCGCTTTACACGTGTTGTTTTTGGATTAACATGTAGTCCATTCCTACTTAATGCAACAATTCAAGAACATTTAAAAAACTATGTTAAAGAATTTGAGAGTTTTGTTTTACAGTTTCTTTGAGACTTGTATGTTGACGATACTACAACTGGATTTGATAATGTTGCTGATGCTTCTGAATTTTTTTAAAGAGCTCACAAAGTGATGAAGGATGGTGGATTCGAATTGGGAAAGTGGACATCTAACTCAGAAGAATTAATGAACCTTATAAGGTCGTGTACTGATCAAACTAACAATATACGAAATCGAAAAGACTAAGTTGGGATACAAAGTTAGATAATTTTAGTTTTTGTTTTAATGAATTAGTGGACGAAGCACTGAAATTACCACGAACTAAACGGTCATTATTAAGTATTAGCTCAAAAATATATGATCCTCTTGGACTGTTGATTCCAATCACTATTTAATCTAAAATGATGTTTCAGAAAATATGTACAGAAAAGATGGACTGGGATGAACTCTTGCCTAATGATGTCTGGACTCGGTGTTATAGACGGTTAAATGAACTTAAAGAAATTGGTAATTTAAATATCCCAAGATGTGTATTGTTTGACATGACTAAACAAATAAAATCTGTTCAAATCCATGGGTTTTGTGACAGCTCAACACAAGTCTATACAGCATTATGTTATTTAAGAATTGAAGCTTATGATATGGTTGTTGTAAACTTACTTCAACAAAAGCAATTCCAAAAGCAAGTTACTTACAAAAACGTTACTCCACTTAAAAGACAAACTGTTCTAAGACTTGAACTCTTGGGTTGATTAATGTTAAGTAAACTGATAAGTTCTGTAAAGAATGCAATTAAAGGTGTTCTTCATATTGAAAAGGTTTACTATTGGAGTGATTAAAAAATTTGTTTATCGTTGATTCATGGAGTAAATAAGGAAATGCTGTGTTAAGTCAAAAACTGTGTTAAGTCAATACGAAGTTTATCTAGTTTCTGGAACTGTAAACCCCACTGATATTCCAACTAGAGAAAATAGTTTGAGATCAATGCTTAAAAATAAAGATTATTGAAATGGACCTGAATTCTTAAGAAAGGATACCAGGGAATGGACTACAAAATGCAATTACGAGAATGAGTTAACAAACATTTCTATCGATTCAGAACTGAAAAAACAAAAGCTCAACTTAAATGGAATGGTTGATGTCAAAAATATGTTTCATCAATTTGAAGTTGATACTGTTTTTAATATGCCACTTCACTGTGGTGAAGAGTGTATCAATTGAAACAATTGTGAACTTACATGAGATATTAACAATAGATGATAACAGTTCAATGAACAAGCTTTTATTAATAACATCATACGTGATACGAATTATAAATTTCTTATATCGAATCAAGAAAAAGGAAACATAAAGTTACAGGTTCTATTGGAACAGAAGAGTTATTGCATGCTGAGCTTGTGTGGGTAAGAACTGAACAATTGATTGCTAAAAAGCTCAATACGTTTTCAGATATTTGTCAATCCTTGAATTTAAAATACGATAGCGATGGTGTTTTACGATTACATGGACGTTTTCCTAATGTACTTGTTGAACTTGATATCAAGCATCCAATCTATCTTCAGACAGATTTAATGTTTACAAAATTATTAATATTAAGAGCACATGAAAAAACAAGCAATGCTGGAGTTAACAGTACCTTAAATGGAATCCGATCAAAGTTTTGGTTTGCTAGAGGTAAACGAATTTTATCCCTTATAAAGCGTTGCATTGTGAGCAAGAAAGTACAAGGTAAAACCTTTAAAGGTTAAACCACCTCTTCTTCCAGAGTACCGTGTACACAGTGATTTTGCTTTTGCCAATACTGGAGTTGACTTTGCTGGACCATTTTACATTAAAGATATATATTCAGAAACCAGCACAATACACAAAGCTTATTTGATTTTATTTACATGTGCAGCTATAAGGAATGTACACCTAGAATTGACCCCATGAATGGATGTTTCTTCAGTTATTTGTGCACTAAAACGATTTTTTGCAAGAAGGGGTTATGTAAAGATGTTAATTAGCAATAATTTTTCTATGTTCAAATCAAAGGAACTATCTAGATTTTTATGTACCAAATTTATTAAGTGGAAATTTATTTTACCGCTTTCCCTATGGTGGGGAGGGTTTTATGAGAGATTAATACGTATAGTTAAAGGAGCGTTAAGGAAAACGCTGGGGAAAGCTTGGCTGACATTTGATCAACTGAATGCAGAGTTAGCAGAAGTAGAAATGATTCTAAACAGCCAACCTTTGTGTTATGTGTCTGACGGAGACGATGTGGAGCCATTGACTCCATCTCATTTAACTGTTGGCAGAAGGCTTCTTAGTCAAGTAGGATCAGTTAATACAGAAGATCCAGGCTCAGTTAAAATTAGTGCACTGGAGCAATTTAAACATTTAAAGACCTCGATTTAGCATTTTAAAACAAGGTTTTACAAGGAATACTTAAATGAACTACGAGAACACCACGTTTACAGTCGTCGGAAATACGATGTTATAAATAACATTCAAGTAAATGATATGGTTTTGATTAAAGACGATAATAAATTGCCGCGAAGCCTTTGGAAAAAAGTGTTATCGAAAAAATAACAGGAAACGATGGGAAGGTTCGAGGGGCTGTGTTACGCGTATTTGGAAAAGATGGTAATGCTATAAATTTAAAACGTGATGTAAAGCGATTGGTTCCCCTGGAACTTCAACCGAGAATTGTACCTCCAGCCGATTTACAGGAGAAACGGGTGTCCGCAAAAACGGCGGAGTTAAAAATGAAACTACACAATTGTTAGAGATGCCATTCTAAGATGGGGAGTGTAGAAACTAGTTTAAAAGGACTGGGTCCTAGTAACCATTTTTAGACTTTACGCGCGAGCACGTTTTTTCTTATCTTGTTAAGTTTCTAGAAAGCATAATGGCGCTCTAGTTTTGTTTATTATTAAAATATATTATCCTCTCTTATTTGCCTTTTGATTTACTTATTAGAATCCGTTGTGGATTCTAAAACTTAGTGAATAATAAAAATGGTTAAAATAAAAGATAAATAAAAGATAAGCAAATTTTTAAAGATATTATACTGTTCCTGTTCCTTTAACCAATATACCTATAAGTGGCTACATTTCTTTTTTAGAAACATCCTTAAACAACACTTGTGATACTAGATCACTATCATTGATAACAGGAATATCAATATTATTGAAACTGGTTCATCAATTACTACTTTGTTTTCAACAGAGACTACTAAAATACCAGGACGCAACATTTCAAATCGGACGAGAGGGCTGATTTTAACGGTTAGCAATATTGTATTTTGTTATAACTTAAAAAAAGATACTAATAAATCTAGATTTAGATTAACTAGAACTATAAAATGTGTATTTGAAACATTATCAAATTCTAATAATGTTTCAAATACACATTTTTGTCAGAAAGATGACAATGTTGTTGTCATATTTCTGACAAAATTTATGTTAAACCAAGTATACGTTTTTGCGGATTTTATTTAATAAGCTACAGTAAAGACAATCCTACTGCAGTTGCAAAGACTATACTTTGTTTTTTGCTGAAGCCAATGCTAGGAAAACCAGCTTTTGTTTGTCGTATGATGCCAATATTTAAGTTTTCTGTTAATTTAAAAAAAGTTTTATTGTTCAAATCACTCAGACAGTTGATGAACTAGGTGGAGAAATTTTATGTCTTAGACAATCTTGCGACAAACCGTAGAGTCTTATATCAGACAATCTTGCGACAAATCGTCGAGTTTATAAAAATCTTACTTTGAGTGTAGATATGTCATAGTTAGGGCAGTATTAATAATCGAAATCTTGTTATGCCTCATGATCTAGTGCGTTTATTTAAATCAATTGAAATTAAATGGCTTACTGAAAAGACTGGTACAATTTATCTCACACTAAATGGTCAGTTAATTAAAGGCTACTAAACGGATTAAGTAAGTTTATATGATAAAGAAAGTAATAACGTTGTCAAGTTGACAAATCTTTCATACGAAGCCATTTTCCAGGGGCAGTGGATCTTCAAAATGTAGTCTATAAGTGTGCAGTTGTGAATGAGAGGACTGTAGCTGCTCTAAAAATGTTTGATTTCAACGAGAAGTTTTTTGATAGAGTATTATCTGTATGGAATTACTTTAATATTAAACAAGAAGGAATGGACATACGTTTGACCGATCCAAACAGAACATCATACAAAGGCGTCAATGATAAGCGACTTCAAGAAATATTTGTATTTGCTGACAGTGTTAATCAATGCCAGATGGAGTATACAGGTTACTAAACCTTTTTGTGTAGCCTGTCCATGTTTTTATAACCATTATAATAGTTATTTTGTAAAAATATTTGATAATACTTTTTTTTATATGGACCTACGTATATAAAATTTTTCTAAAAGCAATTATATAAGTAAATTTCTACGAGTTAAAGTTGAGATTCTTCTTTTTGTTAGGCAACTTTGTGGTGGCAATTACATACTTCGATAGAGAAAATTCAAAATAGTTTGCGTTTACAATGTTTAAAAATGTTTAGTAAATTGGATGCTATGGATTCGTCTATATCTCAGTGCTCCATTGTTCATTCAGAATGTTGTCACTTAGAATTGATTGAAGATGAAATTCTTTATCTTGATATGTGTGTCTCATCAATAAATGCCATTTCAGAAGAAGAAAATGCTGCCCTGTATTATATTTCTGGTTACACCCAACATAAATTTGCTCTATATATTTCTACTTCCAGTACCTTTGACACAAATGCACCTGAATTTACAGATTTGGTTTCCCGTGGTCAACTATGTCATCCTATTGAACATCTGTTTAAGTATTTCAGACATGCTTATTCTCTTTTCTTTTTAATACCTAATACAGAAATGCGGCTTCAGTGCGTAAAGTACGTTTTGAAATTTTTTTTTGTATTTGCATAAAGCTTTACCTTTTGATTTAGAAAAATTGCCTATAACATCAGTTGTATCCACCATTTCAAATTGCTTTTTCAAGTGTTTAATAAAATTGGATGGCTCTACAAAGTATCTTTAGATATTGATGACCGCAAAATAAAAATATTTTCTTGCTAAATATATTATAACAAATATTATATAATAAAATTAAAAGTAAACTAGTTACACCAACAATATTGAATGTGCTTTTTGAGGGGGCATTCAGTTATGAATTAAGCAATGTCACTTCTATGATTCATGTGTTGATATGGTAGTTGAATATGAATTTAACAAAAGTAATCATATGGATACTCGTGATTCTGATTTAACCGATACTTTTTTCTTTGATGTTGGTGGTTGGAATAATGATCAGGAAATCAAGAAACGTGTCTAAGGGATATATAATTGATAATGGCACATAAAACTTCTAGCATAAAAATTGTGATTTTTCCAAATCTGCACAAACTGTTGGAAAGCAGATAAGATGTTTTTAACAATCAACCTTTTAACTTATTAAACAAAATAAACAAAATGTTCTACCAAAATGGATGTGTTATTCCCCAGTAAAAAGATCAGTATATTGCATTCTTTTTGTGGTATTCGGCTTAGAACAACAAACAACAATTTTTTTGTCTGGCTATGCAGATTGGAAACATGCAGAGCGTGATTTCTGCAGTCAGGAAAAATGTAATCAACATTATGAGACTGTGGAAGCAATTTTAGAAACACAGAAAAAAAAATTGTACCTTTATTTTTATCTGCACTGAATAATGAAATAAACTATTGGGAAAAAAACTTTTTTGTGTTTGATATGATAAAATTTGTAACATCTAGAAGGCTTTCTTTAAGGAGCTCGGTTTCATACCTAGAGAGGTTTGGTTCCACTAAAAATGGTATTTATCTTGGATGTTTAAAGAATGGTAACAAAAGAAAAGGCTCGGTTTCATACCTTTGAAAAAATATTAGTGAAGAATTTATTAAAATGATAAGGAAATCAAAGTTGAGCATAATTATTTCGAAGTTTAAAAAAAATAAATTATTTCTCTATATCATTAGATATAACCCGTGAAATTAGTCACATTGATTAACTAACTTTTACAGTGAGATTTGTTAAAAGCAGAAAAGTTTGGGAAAGATTTTTGACATTCATTCCTATTCAGCAACATCATGACACATACCTAGATAATGTACTCTTCTAGTTTTTTAAAAGTCATGATTTAGTCATCGCAAACTGCATTGAACAGTCATATGATAATTGTTCCAATATGACCGGAAAGTACAAAGGTCTGAGAACCTTGATTTTAGAAAAGAATCCATTAGCCCTACCCGTGTTATGTCATAAACATTCTTTAAATTTAGTTGGACACTCTGCTGTTGAGTCATTGATTCATAGTGATACATTTTTTTATGTTAATTCAAAAACTTTATTTATTCTTTTCGACAAGTACAAAAAGATGAAGTCAGTTGAAATTACCTTTGACATTAAAATCATTAAGCAATACAAGATACATCTAAAAAGAAATGCTTCCATCTTCATAAGTACTTATTACATAATAAACAAACCATGTTATTGTATTTTCAAAAGTATTTTTTTTTTGTTTTCAGTAACACAGTATTATTATGATGTACTAATTAACACTAGATGCAGTGTTAGATGGACTTTTTAACATGACTGTAATTTTAAATAAAATTGGTTCTGATTCTAATGAAAAATCTATAACAAAAGTAGAATCAAACTCAATAAACGATCATCTATAAACCTTGGAATCTGTTATTCTCATTTGTTTTGGGAATTCGGTTTTGGCAAGATTTTATAAATGCAGTAAATGTCTTCAAAAATTGCACCTTGAAATAAATGCTGCAGCATTTCTTATAAAATCCCTCAATAATTCTGTTTCGAATCTCGGAGAAGAATGCAATAGTTTTGTAGAAAGTGGTAAAAAGTTAACAAGATGTGAAACATTTATCAAAAAAAGAAATAAAAGAAGTAAAAAATTTGTTGACGGAGATGAAGATGTTACTGATGAAATTTTTGCTGAAGATCAGCATTTTAAAGTTAATATGTTTCGTGTATGTGTTGATGAATTAAAAACACAACTAACAAATAAGCAAAATGCTTATACTAAATTGTGTTGTTTATTCGGCTTCTTAAATAAATTGAATAATTTGACAGTTCAGGAAAATTTTAAAGCTTTTAATAACTTGCAAGTTGTGTACAGAGATCATATTAATATGGATTTGGCTATCGAATTATTACAATTTAAATAATTATCTTTGATAATGTGTCAGACTTATTGAAAAATATGTCAATTGAATTACAGATATTTGATTTTATTGAAAAGTTTAACTTACAATCAGCTTTTCCCAATTTAGAAACTGTCCTCCAAATATAGTTATCGATGATGATTTCAAATTGTTCAGGTTCAAAGATGCTTTTCTGTACTAAAAAGAGTATAAATTTATCTAAGAAGTTTAAT